CGGACACATTCAGTCAAGACGATCAAACAAGGACGTGGCACGGATTGTTACTTACCATCTTCCAGACCGTACTGTGACATAGTACGACTAGCGTCTACGACGGCTGTTGCTTGTTGTTGCCAATGGCAGCTGTAAGCCATGAGTTGAAGGTGCGGATACCATTCCGTAGCCCACGAGATGATGTTTATATAGCTTTAGGGGCATCAAAGCGTTCAACTGAAGCCGGGATACACAAAAAGCATGACGCCACTACCAACAAGCGTATTGTTTGTTGTCGATCTATCAGAGGTTGGATTAAGGGAAGCGGCCTAGCAGTCGTCAGAGCGATGTGACGCGCAAGACACACAGCACAATTGAGCGACCCACTAATGGAAAGCGTTGTACTATAAGGCGAGGAATGCTTGCCAGATGAAGGTGGACACCGTGGTACACTGAAGTCGCGATCTGTGGGTTGGTAATGATCCTACACAAGCCCCTTCACATCACAGATCGGTTGTTAGACACTTCTACTCACTACTAGGTTGCAACTCTTCTGGTAGCCTTGATACCTGATTCTCAGGGCAGATACTATCAGCAATGCCCGAGCCCATGATATGATCAATTCTGAGGAACGACTGGGTATACTTACTTTCTCAGTTGAGCAGCCAGAGCTACTCCCACTCCAAAAGTAGCGGGACCTGGACTGATTCATAGCCAAGATGATTGTCCTTTAGGGCCGTGCTGCTGCTCATGGTGAACGGCCCCTATTAGAACGCCTCCGAGTCGTAACTTCTCGACGAGAGAAATGCGACGGTTGGAGTCATTTTTAACCCCATGCATTCCGCAAAGCGTATGCATAATTCAAGACGCATTGAGATGTCCCAATGAAGAGCATTAACTTAGTGAGAAACAGTGGCGCACCAATCTCAGGCTGAGTGAGGGCGGCTCGAGGACGAGGACGAGGTGCAGGGCAGCCCGGGTGGCTGAGCGCTCTGAGCTGGCGCATCAGATTCACGTGCGGGTGCTAGGCCGCTACTTACGGACGTCAGTGGAAGGACTGCGACGGCGTCTGCTCAAGTCACTGCATACCCTCGCTCTCCCCTTCTGCTCTCCTCTTCCCCCAACTAATTTGCATGTCCATGTTCGACAGAATCAAGCAGGGTGCTCAGAAAGCGAGCAGGCAAGCCACCCTCCTCGCACAGCAGGGCTCCAGCAAGATCGCTAGCGAGTCAGCACAATTCGTGCATGGCTTCAGTCTCCCCGGCGAGGCAGACAAGGCAGCCAAGAGCCTCGCCAGTTTTCTTGGTACGTAGGATAACACGTCTAGCCCCCATGCTGCTCATAGCCGTGCAGCCAACCCAGAACACCCCGAATCCGCACTCAACTCCGTGCCCAAGGCCGTACTACAGCGCGCGCGAGGTAAGCACCCTTTCCCGAAACCTATCGCCGCCCGATCCCAACCTACCCTCCACTGTAGGACTCGCCGTTTTCTCCGTAATCAAGGCGGGCTTCGTGTTCTCAGGCAAGGCGGGCTCGGGCATCGTCATCGCACGGCTCCCGGACGGCTCTTGGTCTGCGCCATCATGCATCGCCACCGGCGGTGTCGGCTGGGGCCTCCAGATCGGCGCCGACCTCACCGAGTTCGTCATCGTCCTTAACAGCGAGGACGCCGTCCGCGCGTTCTCGATGGGTGGCAACGTCACCATCGGCGGTAACGTCAGTGCTACCGCGGGTCCCATCGGCACCGGTGCGGCCGTCCAGTCCACGCTCGCGCACCCGGCCCCGATGTTCTCGTACTCCAAGTCCAAAGGTACGCCGCCCCGCCTAGATCTGTAGTAATGCGTGTTTGCTAAGCGGGATGCCGTGGGCAGGACTGTTCGCCGGCCTCTCGCTGGAGGGCACCGTACTGATCGAGCGCAAGGATGCGAACCGCGAGTTTTATGGCTCGCCTGTGTCCGCGTCCGATATCCTAAGCGGCCGCGTGCCGCCGCCCGAGGTCGCGTCGAGGCTATATGAAGTCATCGAGGCGGCCGAGGGCATCGACGAGAGTGGCCTACCTGAGAACGCATACGTCCCCACCGCTGCGGGCGACCACATGAATGTCCGTGGCGGAGGGACCGTCTTCGACGCCGAGGGGCACTAGATCCGTATAACGACACACAACGGAAGGGATGTGTACGACTAGGGGACGACACCGCATCGATTACCTTTCATTTTCATCACTTCGATCGTCTTTGCTGTACTGTAATAGGTGATGCTTCTGTGCTTGATGTTACCACTCCCACGTTTCTGAGTTTCGCCCTCACATCTCCGCGTTGTACCTTCGTGGCTGAATAAATTGCTTAAGTGAATACCACACATTATATCTACGCCATGTAACGAGAACCCATCTAAGATGTCCTTGCATCAATACATATAAATGCACCGAGCTGACCCGCAGCACCTCGAACTCGGGTCTAAAAGTACTGATCCCAGAACCCTTTGGTCCCATTCGTAGGCGCCGCGAAGCTCTCGATGCCGATGAGCTTGATCATTAGGTTGTAGATGTTGACGTTCTCAAACGTGTCCATAACGTACGTGTCGTCCGCGGTCGAGTGCCAGCCCTTGTTCGGGCGCGCGAGCCAGCGCGGGAGGAGCCCGCGCGCCTGCTCGCGGTCGTGCGCGATCGCCTTGACCACCGCCGAGAACGGCCCGTGCGCGACGAACATCGCGTGCATCGCCGGCTCGTCGTTGTCGTATCCGTGATTCTATACGTAAGCCCCAGTCAACTCTGGTGAAAGGATGAGAGCCAAGTGGGGGGAAGGACGCACCCCCTTGCTCATGCCCGAGCCGTTCTCGATGTGGTTCGTGAGCGCGTAGCCCATGCGCGGGACGATGTACACCGGCGCGATCCGCTCGTTGTGCGCAAAGTGCCACCGCTCGGGCATCGTCTCGTGCGTGTAGACGTGGAACTTGCCCCCGCTCGCCTCGGACGCGTTCAACAGGACGCGCAGGTACTTGTCGGCGTCTGCCTCGGGCTTGAAGCGCAGCCCCATGGACGGCCAGCCTGTGCCACACGAGTCAGACTGAGGGGTGCGCACTGTGTGTGAGGGGACGCACCGTCTTCGTGCTCGATCATGTCGAAGCCGTCGCCGAGGATGTCGTCGACGTATATCCACTCCGGGTCACTCGTATCCGTCATCCCGTGGTCACTCACGAAGACGACGTCGAAGATGTCCGTTAGGTTACGTGCCTCTAGTATGTCGTGAAGATCCCTCGCAAACACGTCTACCTGGTGCAAGACTTTCTGTATCGATGCTCAGTACGTATTCAGCTGGATGGACAACGAATGAGTCGCACGTTGACGAGCTCGGATGCAGGGCCGGCCAGGTGCCCTGCCTGGTCGAGCGATGGCTCGTACGCTGTGGGCATGGTGTGAGTATTTGTGACATTGGGAGGATGCAGGATGCCATACTCATGATGAGTTGTGGTCGTTCTTCAATGGGGAGGTCTATCCAGGCAGTGATCTGGTCGAGCTTCTCCTTCAAGGGCACTTTGTCCTGATACATAGTGATATTCTGAGAAGTCGGGCAGCAGCAGTATCTCAGGATACGCACCTTCCACGGCACAAAGTACGAAGGCGAAACCCCTGTCGCTGTCGTAGGCGGCCCTGGCCTGACACAGCATTGAACATCCGTTGAATGTATATCATGCATGCGCTGCACGTAACGTACCACATTAGGTTAGCGGTTGTGATGCCCGCACGTTGCGCCGTTGCCCACATCTGGTGTAGTAAGTCGTCAGTTCAGTTGTAGTAAGGTTATTTGCCGATAATGCTGACGAACCGGCTCTCCAGACCACCAATGAGATGGCCATGAAGTTGACTGGCCTCTGTAGTTGAAGACGTCTCCGGAAGCGGGATCCCAGAAGTTCTGGATTACATCATTCGCGTTAATTTCCCGAGTCGTAGGCATGACGCTTAGCCTACATTCGCAACTATCCCATGTGACTCGGCGTACAAGCCAGTCCTACAGACACGTCAGATAGAGCGTTCCTGCTTACTGCATCTTTGCCTTACATTAGTGCCCAATGGTTTCTGTCAAGGCGTCAACTAGATTTGAGCTACGCCAGCAGGATTAGAGGCATATCGTAACTCACGGGAACGTTAGAGTCTATAGAACGATGCACAATCAGTAACACTGCATATATATCACAGGTCGTTGGGACATACGGGGAACACTGGCTTCATAGCCTTCGCACGCAAGCCCTTCTTAGCGATAGCCAGTAGGTGGGGAGTAAGCCCTCGGTCAAGATAATCCGCTCTGAAAACATGTAAGCGGGGAGCAGGTCCAGCAGGTCTAGCAGTACGCACCTGAGCCCGTCTATTGACACGATAAGCGCGCTCTTCTTGAAGTAATGCGTGCCATTGCTACGAAGCAGTCCATTGTCGAAGTCCGGCTTCTGCTTCGGGCGAGGCCAGACGGAGTGTAGCAGCGGCCTCCCAAAGAGCGCACCGAGGAGAATGACGATAAACCCGACGCTGATGCCTACTACGTACTTCCTTGTTCTATTTGGGCGTAGCGGGACTTGAGTATCGTCTTCGAACGTCCGTTCGTCAGCGGACAGAAGGCCCGTGCGTTCCTCGTCACGGTCCCTGACCAGGCTGGCACCCTCCTGCAACGACCGACGAGGAGAGGTAACCTCGCTTACACCCTTGCCCATGTCGTCGCTTCGTTAAGAGAGAGCGGTAGGTTATTCTAGATCGTCTGACGAACAAGTAGAGGGAGGCAGCCAAAGAGCGGAGGGCACTCGAGGTGCGAGCCGGAGGTCGACCAGTACTTAACAGTCCAAGCCACCGTACACTGTTCGCTAGATTCGCGTGGCTGTGGCGAAGCGGTACCTATGTGTGATTACATAATAAGCCAATACCCTCATCACTCGTGCAGGTCCCCCGGGCCCGCCGGCTCGGAAATGCAAATAAAATATGCCAAAAATCCAGAGCAAACGCGGTGAAGGACTCATGCGCTTGTGCTTGTGGTAGTAGCCCACCGCGAGGGTCGAACTCGCAGCCTTCAGATTGCACCGCCTAAGGAAAGAACGAACCATCCTTGAATAAGAGTCTGACGCTCTATCCGATTGAGCTAGGCGGGCCTTGCATGTGACTTGGTTCTGGCATTGACATGTTCCGACAATGTCAGTCAAACTCAAGAATCGGAAGGCTTAGTTATTATCAGCTTGGTCCGTCACTCCGAGTCTCTGCATTAGAAGGCTTTCAGCACTTTCCAACGAGTTTATATCTGCCCGGCTACATGCTGAGTAGGGTGCGCGAACAAGTGCTCCTCGAACCAACTGACGCTCTTTCGCCTTGTCCCTCCCTGCTTTCTTCTCGGTATCTGCCATGTTTGCTCTGATAGTCCACCCATGCTGAACACCCTTGTACACCACCACCTCGAACGTCTGTCCCCTTGCGCCGAGAATCTTCTCCGTCTCAGCAGCCTTCTCCGATCCGTAATGGTGGTCCGTCTCTGCGATGGCAAAGCTGATAGGTTTAGTGATCCCGTCTAGTTCGTTTGGGAAGTCGACGAGGAATGGATGGCACGCGACCGTGGCGTCGAATTGATCATTCATGGTGAGTGCGAAGCGTCCTCACCAACAGAATCCGACGTAGCCGATCTTAGCGTTCGACTGCTTCTCGCGCAAGTGTTTGAGGAGCGCGCCTATCCTCGCTGTTTGCGTGTCCTTGCCGTTGCGCAAGAGAGATGAAGAGGGCCAGTAACTTCGATGCATGCCGTTTCAGCGACGAGGATTCGTCGACCGGGTCTATGCCAGTGGCTCGAAGTGACCACATAGGAATCTCATATCCTGACATGGTCCGGTAAGTTCGCTGTCTAGCTTCCAGGGTTACATATCACACCTACCGTTGAAGAGGTCCGGGATCAGGACCCGAAATCCGCGCGACGCGTACTCGTCAGCAAGAAGTCGCGAGTTGATGAATTTCCAGCCGAAGACATCCACCCCGAAGACGATGATACGGTTGGATGCCTCATCACCGGTTGCATACACCTGCAGTCCTGCGAGAGTGATCTCCTTACCCACAGGAGTACCCTCGTGGATGAAGCCCGTCACGCAGTCTGCGCAGGCCATCGCGGCGACCTTGGAGGGCGAAGATCAAGGGGTCGAAGTGAGTACAGGAGGTGGTGGTATGTTCTTATACGGCGCGTCCCTATCTACCTACCGTAGATGTGGTCACGGTGCCATCAGCCTTTCCTAGTTGATGGGCCGACCCGGAAACAAATACTGCGGATCGTGGTATGTATCGCGCGCGGCACGGTTACTCACGAGAATAATGTTCCCCGGGCCTATAAGATTATAACAGGAAGTGGCATGCTGGTGAGAATCTCGGGAAGCTTGCAGCATATGATATTTGACGGTTGACGCCCGTCCATCCTATGGACACTCGCTACTTGAGCACGTACAGACATTGCACGTTGGGCATATCCCCTGGCGGCGTTTTGAGCTCCACCCAGTCAGACATAACTGAATAACACTTTCTCTCCGCTCTTCATGCGCAAGGAAGTCGGCTACACAGAGTCTAAGACGCCTCCGGGTCAGCCCTAGGAAAGTGGTTGAACTGGTTTGCCGGTTCACTTATCAACTGTTGTACCCAACTGAATTGCGGTGCGTTCACTTCTCCAGCGGGAACTCTATGACCTGTGCATTCATCGGCAGCGTCAGGGGGGATTTCGCCGGCCCCGTCAGCGGACTCTACTAAGCGGCCAGTCGAAAGAGATGCTGTATATATACTCACGGTGAAATTTGAGCCGTTCTTATCCTCTGAACCCCCTCACAAAGTACTATCATGTTTTCACTCACTCCAGGTCTACAGCTACTCCTCCGGCTGCTCTCGAGCCTCGTAATCCTCGCGGTGGTCATTTGCGGCGCCGCTCGCATTGCGCAACAACACTTCGCGTACGATGTGCCCGACTGGATGCTTCTTTTCGCCTGGGTCGCATACCTACCGGTGACCGTCGTTCTGCGCTCTCTCTATCAATGGATACAGGAAGAACGCGACATCCGTCGCCTTGGTGCTGTCCGCATCCCGGAGCTCACAGGATATCTACCGGGCAACTTGGACGTTGCGGATCAACTCAGGACTGGAGACGGTATATACATGTGTAAGGCAGGCTAGTTGATAGTCCCCACCAGTCAATAACCTCGCGGATTGGTGCCTTGGAAGTCGAACGCGTTGAAGACATACAGAAGACATGCGGTGGCATTTTCTGTGCCAAGCTCTTAGGACAGAACAGGGTATGTTCTGCCAATATGACTCCAGACATGAATGACCGACGGTAACAATTTGTAGATCTTTACCACAGATCCCAACCATATCAAGAGCATCCTAGCGACCGACTTCACCGCCTGGGAGAAAGGTACGTAGCTAAGCATCGAGCGAGGAAAGATGCTCCGAGTTAACACAACGCCAGGTCCACAGTTCAGAGAAGACATGGCCTCTGTACTAGGGTCTGGTGTCTTCAATGCCGACGGCGCTGTGTGGAAGTACGTACGCCCTGTATACACAGAAACATGGCAATGACAGTCGCTTCCCGTCCCGCATTTCCTAGGTTTCACCGCTCACTAGCCAGGCCCTTCTTCGCCCGAGATCGTATCAGGGACTTCGAGACGTTTGCGCGCCACGCCGACGAGGCCATCGCCGTCATACGCGCTCGCCAGGGTCTCCCGATTGACTTCCAGGACGTCCTGCAGAGATTCACGCTTGACTCCGCCACGGAGTTCTTGCTCGGGAAATGCGTCCACTCTTTGCACTCCCTGCTGCCCGCGACTTATGGGAAGCGGGAGATCGTCGAGGCAGCTGCAGAGGCCTTTGGTCCTGCTCTCACCCGGGTGCAAGAGCGGCTCTCATACCGCAGAGACATGCCGCTTTGGCCTCTGTATGAGACTTTCGGGGATAAGACAAAGTATAAAAATCTGTTTCAACCTCACCCCCGTCCAACGCTGACCACTCGTGTTTCCTAGGAAGGACATGCAACTTATCGGTGAATTCCTCGCCCCGATTATACAAGCCGGCTTGGACAGGAAGAATAATAATGAGAAGATGACAACGGAGGATGGGGTTAGAAAGCCTGACACTGCTCATCAAGTCATGCTGGACCAGCTACTGGAAGTATCAGATGGTGATGATTCACCCTTGGCTCTCAGCGCCGTGTCTCATAAGCGTCCCATAGATCACAAGCTGATTGCAGACGAAGTCCTGAACATCCTCATTGCAGGGCGAGACACCGTATGTCATGCTGTCCCTACATACTTATAGATGAGGACGCTGATCTGACACCCGCCCGAATTCAGACATCAACGACGCTCACGTACATTGTCTACTTGTTGTCTTTGCACCCTGATGTCCTCAGCCGTCTGCGTGAAGAGGTTCTGTCTCGAGTTGGCCAGACACGCTGCCCCGACCTCGAGGACATGAGAGAGATGAAGTATATGCGCGCAGTCATCAACGGCGTGTATCCTGGATGTTGGTTCCTCCGATGTCGACTAACTGTGCATCCTCAGAAACAATGCGACTCTCCCCGCCGTCCCGGGCAATGTTAGGTGCGCAATACGACCGTGAGGCAGTGTATTGAACCAGTCCTGACGTATGGCATCTCAGGACGAGCGTGCGGGCTACGACACTGCCGTCGAGTGTTCCTGGAGGCAAGCCATACTATGTCCCTGCCAATAGCGAGTACGTGTGTCCGCTGCGCGACTATCAGGCGTGTACTCAACATAAGCTACCGTCATCAGGGTTGCCTACTTTGTTTGGATGATGCAGAAAAACAAGGATATATGGGGTCCAGACGCGGAACAGGCACGTCCTGCTTGGTGACGCTCGCTATGGAGCACCATCTGAGAATTTGCATGCAGTTCGACCCCAGTCGGTGGTTGGATGACCGACTCCAGAAGCATGTGCTCTCCAACCCTTTCAACTTCGTGCCGTTCAACGCAGGTATGTATACCCGCACTGTCCTGTTTCATGTCGAAGTTCATGCGCTGTCTCGCGTATCAAGGTCCGCGGATTTGCCGTGGTCAGCAGGTAAGCCTGGTCTTTGCTCCAATCATCGCACTGTCAGTCTTGAACGTACCCTCTATCCCCTAGTTTGCGTACAACGAAATGACCTTCTTCCTCGTTCGCTTCCTGCAAATATTCGACCACATGGAGCTCGCCTTGGATGCGCAGCCCGCCGATGCACGACCTCCGGTTGAGTGGGCGAGCGGAACTGGCCGGAAGGCTACGGAGAAGATCATCCCGAAGAGTTTGCTAACGCTGTTTGTCAAGGTGATTCAAGAGTCATGTGTCACACTCGGGATTATTGCTCAGTTATATTCTTTAGGGGGGCCTCTGGATGCGGTTCGGAGAAGCATCTCGCGAAGCTTAAAGGGGCTCATTGGTCACGCTCTTCAACGGAATCTTTCGTGTCAATATTCGCTGCGCCGTACAGTTACACCGTCAAATACGATAACATGGTCAATGTGATCCATCTGTTGCCATTGAACGTCGTAGCGAAACAACAGAGCCTAAGTCTACATGGGTAATATGGAGCCCAACTAACGAAATACATCTGCAGCGCTGGTGGCTATCCGCGGCTGTTGCTGTACACCACACGCCTGAGCTTGTGCGGCTCAATAGCACGGGGTAATCATGAATCGGTGAGTGCTAGACGTCCATGTTTCAGCTTCAAGGCTAATGCGCCAACAGACTAGTTGGAGTACTTACCGGTAGCGTGGATTCAAAGTCTTTACTCATCTACCGCCAGCGTTTGTTCACAGTCGTCTATGAGTGCAGACTCTTGAACACGGTCTCCTTGACCCGAATTTGCTAGCCCCCGGTCCCACGCAACCCGGTAGCGGAGACGTTGCGCGTGCATCCTCAGGCCGGGAAAATGCCGTAACAAATGATGTGCCAGAGCCGTCCGTGCCTCGCGCACTCCATCTGGATGAATAGGCCTATGAAGAAACACAACGTTGACCTTGGGCACTTCGTCGAACACACGCGAGAGCTCGCGGCCGAGAGGCCACCCAGGATCATGCCAAACCCGCGTTACGTCTGGGATTGGGTCGTACTGACACACCGTCGTATGGAACACCATGCG